CTAATAAGTTCCCGGAGAGACAACCGATTGGAACATCGGCTCAGTCCGACAAGGACTACAAAGAGCCACCTCCTGCTCCACTGTTCGAGCCTGGTGAGCTGAGCTCATGGTCGTTCTGGAGAGCTGGAATCGCTGAGTTCATAGCGACTTTCCTCTTCCTCTACATCACTGTGTTGACTGTGATGGGAGTGAAGAGAGCACCAAACATGTGTGCGTCTGTTGGAATCCAAGGCATCGCTTGGGCTTTTGGTGGAATGATCTTTGCTCTTGTCTACTGCACTGCTGGAATCTCAGGTAAAGATTCCTTTTTATTTTTCTTGTTGTTGGGAAATCTCTGGTGTGTTCTCTGTTTTTGGTTCTGGGTTATTTGCTCTGCTTGGTTTATTATTGATGAAAGTGGAAAAAGTTTGATTCTTTTGATGGTTGGGTTTAACTTTATTCTAGATCTCCGGAATATCTCTGTGTTATTCCAATTTTCCTCTCCAAATAGTAAAGTTGGTATATTTGTTATAAAGAATCTTGTTGTAATTTCTGGATATCTCAAGTGGATTCTCTGTTTCTTGTGTTTACTGAAGGACACAAACAGTTAAAAAGTAGGGAAATTTGGTTTCTTCTGTTGCTTAGGATTCTCTACATCTCAAGAAACTGTTTCCTTTTACTGCAGTTTTCTCAGATAAAGCTCTTGTCTTTCTTGAATCTGTAATATTAGGTCTTCAAATCCTTAACAAATGTTTGTGTTTTATGATTCAGGTGGACACATCAACCCTGCGGTTACATTCGGCCTGTTCTTGGCTCGGAAGTTGTCTCTGACCAGAGCAGTTTTCTACATGATAATGCAATGCCTTGGAGCCATCTGTGGTGCTGGAGTCGTCAAGGGTTTCCAGCCAACGCCTTACCAGACTCTCGGTGGTGGTGCTAACACCGTCGCTCATGGCTACACCAAGGGCTCTGGCCTCGGTGCTGAAATCATCGGTACCTTTGTTCTTGTCTACACGGTCTTCTCCGCCACTGACGCCAAGAGAAGCGCCCGTGACTCACACGTCCCGGTAAGCACCAACCCCACTTTTCCGGTTTTGCTGGTTCTTGGAGTGTTATGTTTGGTTTAGTCAGTAGATAACGAGCCAATTAGTTCCGGATTATGATTAGCTAGCCTAATAATTTGGTCATCTTCTTAATGGAAAATTGTAGATTTTGGCACCACTCCCAATCGGATTTGCAGTGTTCTTGGTACACTTGGCGACTATTCCGATCACCGGAACTGGAATCAACCCAGCTAGAAGTCTTGGAGCTGCTATTATCTACAACAAGGGCCACGCTTGGGACGACCACGTGAGTAGACTGCTCTAGAAACAGATTGATGATAGAGGAGCACTCGAAACATTTCTTCTCGTATTAAACTTTTGAATTTTTTTGTTGTGTTGCAGTGGATTTTCTGGGTTGGGCCATTCATTGGAGCAGCTCTAGCAGCACTTTATCACCAGATTGTCATCAGAGCGATTCCTTTCAAGAGCAAGAGCTGAACAAGGAAGAATTAAGTTTCTACGGTCCTGATTTGTTCTTTAGTGTCGTGTAATCTCTTTGCTTATATATCTATCATCTAGCTTTTGTATTGCAATGTATTTACTCTTTATGGAGCCTTTTTAAGAACAATTGTTTGGGATTTTGTGAATTTCTAATGAGCTTATCTGTTTAAGATCTTTGGTTTGTTCTAATTATGTTAAATTGGTAATTCTTGTTGTTCCTTGGTTACAGTCGACTCTGCTTTACCTCTGTTTCTTTGATTGATGTAACGTATTTGTTCCATTTTAAGATTGCGGCTAATTTGTAACCCATATGAAGGCCCTTTTAAGGCCTTATGATAGTGCAGCTCATAAAGCCCTTTTGCACAGCAAACTACTTTGCAAATGCCAAAGAGAATTAATAATGTTGTCTAAAGTTAAAACAAAACTAGCCAAGCAATTCTCAAAAAAAAAAAAAAAATTCAAATGTAGTATTGAGTATTTTCAAAACCCAGAAAGGCCTTTAATGTTTAGTTTGAATTGAAACATATGATAAAAAAAATTACAAAAAAACCTATAAACGTTATATTACTAATCGTAAAATACATATTAGTACTGAATATACAGGTGGATAGGTTTGGAATATTTGGATTTCGTAGCAAAGATAGAGTGGTCGCATATGCATAAATGTTCGGCTCAAGGCGGTGCAACTCCCAACGGTCGTATAAACAGATAAAACTCACGTGAGTGACAAGAACATCTACCTAACCTGTCTAATCACGACTTCTTTTTTTTTTGTTTTGTGTGTGTGTGATTATAAATATTTCAGCTAATTATATGATATAAGAATCTAAGCTCCACGACACCAGAAATGAATGTTAAACTCTACAAAACGTTTGATCGAATAAGAATGAGTCAAACAACATATACAGAACGAAGACATTTTCATATAATAAATTCGACGTGTGGCCCTGGACTTTACTTTATTTATGGATATGACATAGTTATGGCATATATGTACACATAAATGGGACATATATAACAACTCATTGTATTAATATTACGGCCTTATGTTTAGGTGAGCTGCTGAGCTGCTTTATGTAATGTGATCATAGTAATCACTGAAATTGAAAGAGAATAACATTTTTATATATTAATCGACCAATTCTCCAAGAGTTTCTTCAAGTAATGTTCGAATAATTATATATTTATTTACATTTTAAAAATATAAAAGTGAGATTGTTCTGAATTGGAAGAGTATTTCCGTAATTGGGAGAAGAGAACGAGGGCTGTTTTAGTTACAAAATATAGTTTCCAGGATAAATTCAGAAGAAATCTCATTGTCTGGGCCCTAGCGGTGTTAAAAAAGTATAAGGCCCATTTTGGTAATTTTAATTGATTAGTATAGCATTTAAAACGGAACGTTCGCTCTCTTTCCTTTTCACATTCCTTTGCTCTCTATCTCTGTTTTACAGAGAGACCTCGGCGACTGAAGATGTCTCCGGCGAACAATATTCGAGATTTTCCTTCGATAACGGAATGCCGAGGCGGAGAATATAATTCGATCGCCGCCGATCTGGACGGAACCCTGCTTCGCTCGAGAAGCTCTTTCCCTTACTTCATGCTTGTAGCAGTTGAAGCAGGAAGCCTTTTCCGTGGCTTGATCCTCCTTCTCTCGTTACCGATCGTCATTATTTCATATCTATTCGTGTCGGAATCTCTAGGAATCCAGATCCTCATCTTCATCTCCTTCGCTCGTCTCAAAATCCGCGACATTGAACTCGTCTCTCGCTCCGTTCTTCCACGGTAAATACAGATCTTCAAAAACA